TTTTTTTATTTAAAAAAAACAAAACACCCAACAACAACAAAAAAACTCATGTTCATGAAAATGATATCATGTGAATTAACTTTCTTCCTCACAAAGAAATCCCTGAGCTCTGTCTCATGTTCTTGGGTCATTAAACAAAAAGCTCTCAAAGCCAAGTTCATTGTGACAAAGATCATGAGATCATTGGTGTGGGACTTGGATCCAAATGAAATGTTTCTGTGGGCAACCAGCTGGACAGTAATTCAACAGAAGGTATAGGAAAAAGTATAATAAATTAATAGTTGCTTTTTTGTCCCCCTCTTGCCCCTCTTAATAAGGGAATGCAAGTTTTTAGCCACTGGTTCCTGCGTTTCCCTTAAAAACAGAGTTAACAATATGAACATATCTAACTGATTCGACAGCTGCCGTCAGATCCATCCTTCAGGTTAATGAAAACCAAGTGCTCTCAAAGACTTAAGAGAAGCCAATTGCCTAAGATCTATCTCACCAAAAAGAGTTACAAGATAATTCTTAAACTCAGGCAGTGAAATGTTTTGACAGTAGAAGAAAGAAACCTTGAAACAGCTTGCATCTTTACTACTGTTCACGGCAAAGTTTGGAATTTTCATATCAAGATTATTCCTGAGCTCCAGGTAACGGCATGAGAACTGCAAACTTTGTTAAAGACTGTTACGATCTTCTACACAACCCATTCAGCATTCAATCCACTTCCTGCTTTGAAACTGCGGCCTTTAAAGCTACGGGTTTGACTCAGTTATGGGGGAAGATGGCAAGGAAAAGGAAAAAGTAATTCTGCGAAGTTTTCTAGAGGGCAGGGAGGAAAAAAAATTACGTCCAGCAGGAGACAGGTTATGCACGTTTGTTCTTTTTCCAGTAAAAACTTAACACTGCAGTACTATTTGAGCCTGGGTATCCTACAGATTAAATACAGAAAGCAAGTGGCCTCCTGGGCAGCAATGCGAGCAGAGTATTGCCACTCCATCTGAATCCACAAGCAGTCCAAAGCAGCACGCTTCAAAACCAGCAAACTGCCTGAACTGCCTAGGCTAGGGCAAACTCTGCTGCTTTGACACTAATAAAAAGCACATGACAAGATCAGGGGATGCCCACGTACACCAGAAAAACCTTTTTCCTTTTCTTAAATGAAGCAATCCAAAATATTGATATCCCGTCTTAAAACCAATCTGCTCTTTAGTAAGACCGCACACCTGCAGTTGCAAGACAAATGTTTTTGCAGTTGCTCTTCTGCTTTCCATGGAAGAACTGACGATGACTGTTAATGCCAGAATCAGAAAGTGACATGCCAATTCAGAGGCACACTTAAGTCCTGTACACACATATTAACACATAGATATGCTACTCCCTAATAATTCTGAGTTAACAAACGTTTGTTAAAAGAAAATGCACTGAGCAACGGAAACCTAATTTGAAAAGGAAATACAATATTCCCATAAATGAACGCATGAAAGCCAAGAAGCTGCATAATAGGCATAGAAAACATTAAAATATGCAATTTACATATATTACACACTAATAATCTCCATTCTGACGTTATATTTAAAGAGCTCTGGCTGAGATAGCATGCTTGCAGTTTCGTTGCTTTTTCATGAAATACAAACAAGGAGACTCCTGGCTACCAGTTCCCTGAGACATTAATATTCCTGCACAAGTCAAGCCTTTGCAGGTCTGTAAGACAGAGGTTGTCTCACAACAGCCAGGTAGTAACGAGTAAACCAGATGAACGAGGAGAATAATCAGTCATGTAGAGGAGATCTGCAGATCTTGTCTTGATGTTAAAACATTCTGAATATTAACCATGTGGGACTGTTTCTATTCTCGTATTCATTTAAACAAGAGCAACAACATTTTCTTTTCCAGCCTGCAAGACAGGTACATTGTGGAGCATTCTGCTTCCTAAAAATGACCAAGACGTACAGTCCTCTCTAACTTCCAAATTCAAGGCTAACACAATAAAAATAAAATTACAGCACCCTAGCCATCTCCACTTGTCCTTTGCCTTCACCCAGTGCTTGCCTTAACATATTTGTCCATCGTATTCAAGAACAAAGTTAGAAAGGAAACACCCTGTGTGGAAAATAAAGCTTCCCTGGGGGTCTGCATGTTAGACCCTCATTTGGAATAAGCTGAAGTCAAAGGGGAAAAGGAGGTTTAAGACTGGTAAGAATATGATCCCATGAATCTTAATATTAGATTTTGTTCTGCATGTTCTGAGGGTTTTTTTTAAATCACAAAAGATTATTCGGGCTTCACACAAATCTCCCTCCTCCCGCTAAAGTCACGATAAATTCAGCTTTACACACAGTATGTCCAGAGCATTTGCCTGCAAGAGAGACAGCGATGGGTGGAAACATTATGCTAATTGCTCACACGCCCAGATTTATTGTGGTCAAAAATCCACCAGCTAGTAAAAAGACCCTCTTTCCTTCTCATCTAAATTCCTCGCACATAGGCAGGGCACTGCAACATGCCCACTCAGCAGGAAAACTGTTTGTCTTTCTTCATGAAATCCCCAACACAGAACTGGCTTCCGACTTGCCGGCCACTGCTACCTCAGCCGCTCGGTCAGCAGCTGGGCACCTGCGGGAAGAGGCATCCCAGGGAAGTGTGACAAGGGGATGCACTGCTACACAACCCACGACTAAGGGGCATTTCACACACAGTAACATGGCATGTACGTGAGCGATGTCTGAGGATCTTTTGGGTGTAAAGCACAATGCTCTTTTGCTAGAATTCCACAGTTTGTTGCACATAATTTACATATTTGAGGTGGTACCACTCAAACACAAAGCCTAGGTATGTAATTTTATACATACATGCATTTTATACATGTCTCTAAGTCATTGTTTAAGCCCCAAAACTGGTTTAGAGGAGCTGTTGGTAACACTGCATGAATTTCAGGCTGGGCTTTTTGTTTGTTTATTTGTTTGTTTGATGGTGAGATCTTTATCAGTCAGCATAGGTAACCATTCAGTTGCCAAGAAGCTGTTTGAAATCTAAATGGATATAAGTAATCTCCTGTATGTGTTCAGTGATGAACACTTGACGTCAGCTTTTGAGTGATCGGCCTCCTCCTTAACCTGTCAGTAGAGGTACAGGACACGGCCAGGACCTCTAAGCGCTGGGGTAGAAAAAAGGTTTCAAAAGTCTAAGGAAAAAAACCCAAAATAACAGAAGTTGCAGAGTGCAAAGACAGGGCTGGGTGTAAAGAAGCACAGTAACTGATTAAAGTTGTCTAATCTGCTCCAAGATCTCCTTTTGATTATATCAAACCTCAAATCAGAAAGACTGGGGCGAGGAAACCTGGCCTTACTTTTTTGTCCCACTTTACCCAGACATCACAAGATTTCTTTACTGTTGCGCTCCACTTTGGTGTCACAGACAATAAAAGCTTTGTGAAAGGAAAAAAAAAGATCACATTTTCCATAGCCAGAACCAACATACATTTACACTGACACTAACAACTACTTTTGATGGATTAACACTAAATCCCAGAAGATATTTATGTCAAAAATGTGGAAGCCTTGCACACTATGAAACTGGCCATTAAAAAAAAAAAGGAAAAATGCAGCAACTAATATAATGTCATAGCTTTTGTTGGAGATTGCATTTAGAAATCAGAATTCTTTAGAACAAAATCTATTCAAGTCCTGTTGGAAGTACTTCCGTTTGTTTTTCTGTTGGTATTTTTTTCCTGAGATTTCAAGCCACAAAGTTTCGTACCCCACTCTATGCTATAGGAATCTGTGAAACTTAATTACATTTACTGTTACAAAAAAGGGTTTATGAACTTTTGCCTTTGGGCAAAAATGTTTATTTCATTGCCTTTGTTATTCATTCTTTTCAACTCCAGTGCCTTTGAACTTTTCAGCTGCACAGAGTTATCACCGTTGCACAGGAACCAGGAACTGTACTCCCGAGATGCAAACCACAAGTTGAAGAAAACGAAGGAGGCAAAGATATACGAGTCGTTATTTTGGCCACCCTTTGTGCCATTAAAATCTCATTTTCTGCCTATTAGAATGCCCTCTCCCTGCTTAGGCAGTGGTGATAGTCAGTGATTAGTGTGTAATTGAGTATAATTGTCTTTTCACTTCTCATTTGTGTCATTCTGAGCTTCTCTCTGTTTTTCTAACCACTGAGAGGAAAAAAAGGGTAGAAAGCAGATAAAGCTGTTAAAACTCTCACTTTCAGCCCTGAAGAGATTCCTGATTGTAATTATAGATTGCATCCTCTTTGTGACTTCTCAGAATTTAGTGGACATCTCTTTCCAAGCACCTGGGCAAAGCTTTTGCTAATAAAATAAACTACCATCTATTCAAGCTTTAACTAATAATGTCAGCTTCAGACAGATGCTGTGTGTAGGAAAATTTAACCAACCTTCTGACACTCAATTATCAAGGCAATTTATTAACGTGATTTCCTAAAAAGAGCTCACACAAATTAGAAAAACAATTATGGTATTCATGCATTTATATATTGCCAAAGAGCAGTAATACTCCTAATTTATGTATTTATAACTCAATTATAGCTCATCTCAATGCACACTGTTCAGCCCTCCTTGGAACTCTCCTTGTACAACTTGCCTGTAATTTTCCTGTATCATTCTGTAAAACCTTGGTGAGGTTATCTTAAGGAGATATTTTACTCACAGAAGAACTACACTATCTACTTTCTGTACCTAGCAATGGCTCTTCAGGAGAATAGCAGTACATTACAAATGCTTGACAACTGAATGTAAACACGAAGCCTGCATGATTACATTATAAATCACTTGAAATTAAATATAAGCTCTGACTCTTGATTCAGCCAGTAGGAGGAAAAAATAAAAAAAGAAGGAAACTAGCAAACTGAAATCATGTGGCTTGTATAAAGAATACATTATGGTTTAAATTTGGCAATTCATTATACTGTGGCCTGAGGGAATAGACTCTTTGGTTCTGGTATACAGCAAATCCTCTGTCTGAAAACACAGGACTGACCTGAGGTGAAAGGCCATTGCCAATGGCAGGGTTCATGGGATTTGAGGGCCCGGACGGAGGCACAAAGCTGTCTGTATAGCTGGAAAATCCATGCCTGGTGCTGGGTAGGCAATAGGCAGAGCTGCTCTCTGGATTTGAAGGGAGGCTGCTTTGGTGTACAGTGCTTGGAGGGAGAGGCTGAGGTCTATGGACGGTACTGCTTGGATCAGACACAGCTAGAAGCAAAAGAAACATGTTGATATGTTTTCCTCCTTTTTTCTGGCATAATAAGTTCATTATGTGAAGCTCACCTTGACAGAATTGCATCAGGACCTGCATCTAAGTACTAGTTAAGTAGAAAGGTAAATCTTTAATATTGCTAGATATTTAGCTGGCCAATAAGATTACAAAAAAAATCTTAAATAGACTGTAAAAATCATAACAGACACATGCAGTTTTCAGACAATTTTTAGTGGGCACATATTGTTCAGAATTGATACAGCAATATTTTTTTATATATGCACATATATAAAGGGAAAGCTTTATTTGCTTAGAAGACTGGTAACAGGCTTTCCCCTCCTGGTCACAGCACAGAGATTCTGCCGCGGTTTGTAGTGAACCTAGCAATGGATGGGAGAAGCCCTGGACTTTGAAAAAATTTCCTTAATTAGAACATCCACCAACAGTTAGAATCCAAATCTCAAGGAGGGAACAGGAAGAGTGCAGTAACTTGTTTTATAAAATTTCACCTATAGGGTTTTTCTTTAACAGTAAAATCTAACGTAGCCTACATTTAAGGCTCTGTTCCCTCCCCACCCACCCCCAATTCATCAAAGTTCATAGAACTTCTGACAACATTAAGACAAATTTTTACAATACTGAGACTTGCTACTACCTAATGTGAAACAAGATGGTCTGAATAGCTGTTTTTTCCACCATCAGATCAATATTCAGCGTATTTACAGAAGTTTCCAGTGCACCATCATCAAAAGCAACAAAGACGACAGAACACAACTGCTGCCTCCTTCCCCGCCACGCTGGGCACTCTCAGCAAAGGAGGCCAATGCAATAGAAGGGTAGGGAAGCACGTATGTCGCTTTACCAACGCTGCACCTCTGCCATGCAGGAGGCTATTATTTCTCTAGCTAGCACTGTTCACACGTAACCAGCCCTTTCTTGCAGCAAAACAAACCCTAGTTTTACATGCTTAAAATGAGCAGGCTTGCAAGGTCCTCACTGACACAGACCCTAAATTAGCCAACACCTCTTTTTCTACATTAGAGAAGAAAATATTTCTACAACAGATCAACACAGGAAATGCTCCAATAACACTATTGTAACCAAGTACCTGTTGGCTACTGTACCTTGCGGTATGGAGGTGGGTTGATAAGAGGGCTCAGAGAGCTGGTACGTCGGCAAAGTTGGCATGGCACTGGGTGGAAATCCTCCTGGGATCAGATGGTTGAAAGCCATCAGTTGATTGGCTCCTGCCTGTTTCCTCCATCTAGCACGACGGTTACTAAACCAGACCTACAAATGTTTTAATTAGGAACATTTTATTTTTGTACATTTAATATGGGTGCATCAGAAATAATAGCATTGTATTTCAAATGCATTCAGTGTCTGAGATGAGAGATACAGAAGATGCGCACCGGGCTCAGAGCTCCTAGACAAGAAAGGAGCCCTTGGCACAGATTTCCATGGTTCAACAGACAGGACACAGGGATCCTGAACCCTAGTTTCCTCTCAGATACAGCCTCTCCTGAGAAACAAGCTCACTAATGCTGTCAAGCTTTAGTGCTTTTAATCACTGTCCTTATTGTGCCAGATTTAAAGAGAAAGGGAAGACATCTCTCCATTTGATCTAAGTGCCAGCCAAAGCTATTTGGTCTGGATGGTATTGTTTTTACATTTAATTTGCTGACAAGTTAGTGGCATCACTTAATGCACTGTTGGAAGGTGCTTGTGTTTATATATTGGGATACTATATTGCCCTAATGATCAACAGAACTTGAAGCTTTTAATTTGAAAAATACAAGCCCTGTGTACAAAGCACACAAATCCCCCCCACTAAGTTTTCCTGTACTCACATATGTACAAAACATCTCTTAATAAACTTGACATTAACAGTAGATCAGAATTTCAGTACTAGATTAACATTTCAGAAACACTTTGAAATCTGTTTCCAGGACAGGGTACTAAACAGATGGGGTTTGGATTAGTGGGATATTTTAGCTATAAATCTGCTTTCCTTCACGTCATTCTCAGTTCATGTTTTAAGTTTTCCAAGTCTTGGATGGCTCTTATTACCTCCAAGAAATGACAAGGCAAGACTTCACAAATGCAGACATAATAAGAGTTGCAAAACACATAGGTTAGTATTGATATTATAGCAATTACACATGCCGCAAATGGGAAGGGCAACCAGCCACAGCAGGGATGCCTGGACCAGCGTGCCTCCACACTGCCCTGCTGCAGGTAAACCAACTTCTAGATTAGAGTGCTCAGGTCCATGAGGTGGCCCACCGCAGAAAACAAAGGTTGTTTGAGATAAGGGAGGCTACACGCATTTGTAAACAAGCAGACAATTACTCATAACTGTACACCCTGCAGCAGCTGCAATGATCATCGGTGGATACTATCAATCAGATAAGACCTTAACTGAGTGTTAGCATCTCACAAGGTACATCTGTACAGCCTGTAAGGCAGCCTGGCCTGAAAGCCACAAAGGCATGTTAGCTGATGAGCCACATGTAGACGTATTTGTAAAAGTAAGTTGGGTCTCAGATCTGTCACCCTTCCTGCAAGCAGCCCATGCTGGCTTACGAATCAGCCATCATAGACTGGATTTCTAGGCGTAACATCGTTTACAAACCATGAGCGGCCCTTACGTAAGAGTGTAACAAAGTTTTGGACTACACGGTGGGCTTCTCCTCTGCTTGCTATTTCATAGCACAAGTGGTGGGACTCACTGGGCCATCTGGTTTCTGATGTGGGCCATCTGTCACCATATAGTTTGATCTGGCTTCATCCTCTTTTCAGAATGAGATGCTTAGTTCACACAGCTGCTGCCTCCTTTGGCCACAATGTCTACTCCTCAATTACACACTCCCACTCAGGTTTAAGATTTAGGACAGAGGGATAGATGGAGCCTCTGCTCTACCTCGGGAATCCCTCTCTTGGTTTTTTTCTGTACATACTAAACGTCCCTCTGCCTCCACATGAACCGTTTCTGAGAGCAGCTAGCAGGGACAAGGCACTGGGGCTGGAGATGTGAGATCTGTGATAAGCAATAGTTGAGGATGGGTCTAGATTCAGCAACATTTTTTTACTTTCTCATCCTATAGACTTCTATATCCTTTTCCACCTCTCCTTACCCTTTGCCTCCCTCACTGACATTTAAGTCTACATTTCCTATTTATTCCTCGCAGACTCCTTCCACCTGCTTATGTTTCCCAAAGCCCACCAGTCTCACACTCCTGCAGCAGTATCTTTTGAAGCGACCACAGAGAAAGAAAAATGGGCAAGACACACTGAAGAGGGAGGAAGAGACTTTGCTAAAGAGCCAAAGAGCACTTAGGAAGGATAGTGGAGGTCAGAGAGGGAGCAGGGAACAGCAAACACACATTGTAATTTGCCTACCCAGGTCATTAACTCTGGCTTTCTCCATGATACTCTCCCTTCTTCAGGTCAATAAGGTTATCTGATGATCTCCAAACACTTTAGGAACACTAACTGAACTGCACTACATGAGTGAAATTCACTGAGGAAAATTGGGTAACAAGATTTTGTTTCCTCTACAGATAAGCATTTGCCTTCAAGCCCTAGTTCTTTATTAAAATGAGTCAGATCCCAGACTTGAATTCAGTAGCGAGTGATTTGCAATGATGCCAAATTTTATGCTTTTATTTACAGATAGATTTTGGCTCATTTTATAGATTTGCATTTTTTCCAGAACTGCAGATATGTATTAAACGTCCCTGAAAGGGACACACTCAACAGTATCAAAAACTCTACAGCAACCCCCCCGATGAACATACTTGCACAGAGCTCTATTGCCACCTGGAGCCCCATTAAATTAAGTGGGACTCTGTGCAGGAACCTGCCTGGGCTGTGCAGAAACACTGTGTATTACCACCTCAGTTCCATTGGGACATGCTAAATGGGTGCTACTTGACTGGCACCCGTATCACATGCTGCTGGCACAGCCACGGCTCCAGGCTCATTGGCTCCGGCCACTGCCACTCCACTGCCTTGCCTGCCACCCCATCAGCCGTAGCACCCACCTTCTGCCGCTTGCCCTGGCTTCTTACTTTTCCTGGGCAGCAGGAAGGCAGATGGCACCTGACTAGCACCAGAGTTAGTCCAAAACTAATTCACCAAAACCCCTTGAACAAATTCAAAACTGCAGAGCAAGTCTTATTGCCACTGATACCGCACCACGCACTCACCACTACAGAACAGTAGAGGCACATACAAAAAAAACCAAAACACCCCCACACCTTTACAGTAAGCACTGGGGGTCTGATCTACACACGTACTTCTTTCCCTTTGATTTTAATGTGCTTCGGACCAGCTTTGGTAAAAATACTAGAAATAATTTATCTTTAAAATGACCATAAGTGTGGCCCTGACTCTTCACAGGTTTTTACAAATGAACACACTGAAGCTCTGAATCTGTAATTCTGGATGTTTTAACACAATAGTTTTTACTATTACTATTCACTGTCACTATGTCATGGCTTCACCCTTTTCACATGGCCTGAGGTTTGGTTTGCAACTGTGTTTAACTCCCATTTTATACCAGGTAACTGCAGATTTCGGATGTTGTTTTGTGACAGAACACAATTAAGAAGTAATGTAACAGTAAGACATCAGAAAAAAAATACAAATAAAATTAAATGGGAGAGTTTAAAAGTTGAAAAACAGTTTTGGAAAGTCAAGGAAAAAAAATCACTTAAAACTAAATAACTCAAACCTAAATATTTTATTTGCATTTTATGTAATGTTTATTAAAATTAGCCAGATCCCAAACTTTATTCAGTAGCAGTTATATGCTTTCTATGTTAACTGAAATGATTTATTTTATTATTATTTTTAATCATAGTATTTCACTTAGACTATATTCCACTGCCTTGACTTATTCTCAAGAGTTCAGGAAATTTTTTTTAAATCAGCACATATCATGAAGAATCCATGTGCACTATTACCGCTAATTAAAGAAATCTTGAAAAATGTTGCCAGTATCAAGCCAAGACTTAAAAATAAATCCAGTCACCACAAGCCAATGTGTCTGCTTCGAAACATATTGTAAACACCTGGGGAAATATTTTCTTTTGTTTGTACATTTCCAACATGATTTAAACACAATGTGCTCTTATGTTCAGCAAATTTCAGCTTCCACCAGTGTGACAAAATCCTCATCTTATGAGTGGCCTTTTCAAATGTAGCAGGTCCTCACAGGATGCTTCTGCTCTCCCCCACCCTTCCTTCTGAGAGGGAAGCGATCATCACGTGGGTGCAGAGATGCTCAGAGTATAACGCATCCCCTGGTAAAGATCACCAGTGTCATACTGTGAGAAAGTGCCACCCTGCAGTGGGAATAACAGAAAACCAACTCTAAACTATCTATCTACTTAATCTGACAAGCAAATGTATTTTGTGTGTTGCCTTCACCAGCAACAGCATAGATCTCGGTGGAAGGCAGGCCAACCCAAGATAGTACTTCAAATCACTGCTACACTGAATTCCCCCATGGAAGCAAAAGCAGCGGATAAGAAGGCTACTGCATTTTGGAGACTCAAAACATAGCTTTCTTACACAAACAGTACTGTGTCTGAAGGAATATGATCTACTTGTGTTGGTGTAACATGCAGGAGCTCTAAATTAGGTCAGCATAGTGCTTGGTGCTGTGCAAGGACAGAGGGAGCATGGCTTGTCTGAGGGACCCGAGCATCCAAAAGCAATGTCTCCACCACAAGACAAGTCACATTCGTTTTAGTGAGGGTCTGGCTCCCCAGTTTCTATGTCACTTTCTAAGATGGAATGTAAATTACCTGGATTATTTGGAAACAAAATCGAACCCCAATGTCTGGCCAAAATTTACAATCCAAAAAACAGAACTGATGAGGGTGATATTTAGAGCAAAAGGGAAAAAGAAACTAGTCCTTTAAGGGAAGTAAGTATTGGAGGCTCCAGTTTTTCAAGCGTCTGGAACTGGACTGATCAAAAAAGAAATCACTCCGCAACACAATATTAAAAAAGTATTTTGCACCGATGTAGAATGGATGAGGTGAACTAATGTTTCCCCCCTTCTGTTTTCTAATATGTAGATCCTGCCTTTTATTATCATTTTTCCTTGAAGTAGTTTGCAAATGATCATGCCAACATCTTATTTTATTTATCTCAACGGACTATTCTTTAAAAGATGCATTTATTCACTTGGGAACACACTAGTGTAATTAGCCTTGACATTTCAACAGTCTGATCATAAACACAGAGTGCTCTATGCGCTTTTAAGGCAAAAAGAT